AGGGTAGGCCGATTCAGATCGGCCGACCCTTATAACGCTTATAAGCGCAATAAGAATCGGCCGATCGTGGTGCGCGACGGTTGCGTTGCGGCTCCTTGTACCCATTTAGCATCCGGCTCTATCCCAGCCTTTCCGCATTTTTTTCCTTCCATTTGACTCGCTTTCTTTCTTCAGGTTGTGTTAGAGTTCTCAGAAGTCATCAACAAGTATGCCGGAAAGATGAGGACGGACCCAGCAAAATGGTACTTGACTACGGTGCAGCAACGCAACCGCCGCGCATCCTCGCTCGGCCGATTCTTGTTGCGCTTATAAGCGTTAAAAGGGTGGGGCGATCTGAATCGGCCGATTCTTATGAAGTATGGAAATACCCGAACACCGACCTTGCATAATGCGACTCTAGCCCAGCTTTGCGACATTTAGCCCCAGACTCAACTTGCTTTCCTTTTTTTAGGTTGTTCAAAGTTCTCAGAAGTCTGCAGCGAGGCGTCGGAGTGGTGGTACAGAACCCCAGCCAGAATGATTTGACTTGACGCCACATCGCAACAGTGCCGCAATCTCAGTCAGCCGATCCATTGCTCTTATAACTGTTTTAATGGTCGATGATCTGTGGGTATTGCCATACTTCATAGGTGAATCGGCCGATTTATAAAGTATGAAGATACTCCAAGAGTGCCTACTACATCGCACCAATGCGATCCGATGCAGATGGGCAGCTTAGGAAGCTCCTTAACATGGTATAATGAGACTCTGAAACAGTTATGAACACTTCTTATGAGAAGTCGGTTACTTCCTAGCGGCACAAAATATGTCATTCATCTTCAAAGTAAGCGATCACTTTTTTTAAAAATGGGTAATTGGTAGGCTGATTGAAGCAGAGATTTTTTCATAGGAGAAGGAATAGGCGGGTAGGATAAGGCCTCCTCTTCTTGAGCGTGCGCCCATTTCAGATGGTCCATTTTCTTGAGTAAGGTTATCAATATCGAACACATACATAGATCTGCAGTTTTTTTGCTTAAATGGATTTGATATTCTTGACCTTTTTAGTAGATTCACTCTTACTTACAGCCGGACTGTGGACTTTCACGATCCAGCTCTATTGAAACAACTTAGAACTTTTACGTCAACGTATTGCCTTGATGATATTAATTCTCAGGTAATCCTTGATTTCTTGATGTTTCCTAGGAAAGTCCAATTTTTGAAGAATTTTTGAGCAAAACATGACAGAATATATCGTATCACAGTAACTGCTAAATAAGTAGCTGATTGCGTGGCTATTTAGGTACTGTATGAGTATACTGAGAAGTTGAAAAAAGTATGTCCTTCGAACAGTGATCTCAGGTAAATGTTTATAATGTTGGTGTTCAAAATAGTCAATATCCAAGTTTATTCAGTAAGCTGTCAGTGAAAAATCATCCAATCGCAGTTACCAAGCGGAAAGGGACCTTCACGGTTGGTTTGCTTTTTTTTAGCTTAGAAGTTTGATTTGTACGTTATTATACGACGTTTCTCAACATCTGTTCCTAAATGCCATATTCTTCCTTCTTCAAATCTGGGGCTGGATCGTGAGCTTATGTCGTGTCTTTATGAGCATTCTAGGTTGTTATGGTGGATTATTGATGATTGACGTCTCGACTACTTTGTTTTTGTCGAAGGTTTGGAATG